CCGCACAACATCCTGCGAACGGCTCTTATGATCATATTTATATTTCTCAGTTTAGAAACTTCAGAGCCTGAAAGATTCTTTATTAATTGTTAAAAAATATTTTGTTTAGTTTTATTTAAAATTAGTTCAAATACCTGATATTCCTGGAAATGATATCATAAAAGTATAATGTAAAGGAAACAAATATTCAGTATCATACGTATCTATTTTTAATAATAATAAAATATATTGTTACATGTACAGAGCGCGTCAAAAATTCGTGGAGTAAGCGCGGGGATCGGAAGGCAAGCAGGGCGGTTGCTCGTAGCGCCAGCGAGCGCCGTATGAACTAAGTAGTAGCAATCGGTTGTCCGCAACTACGTCACAGTATAAAGATTAACCAGTAGGGTCACTCCGTCATTTGTTTGAGGATATGAGGATTGTCAGCTATGTTCTTACAATTAGTCAAGACACGTACGAGCGCACATTATGGTGTAACACACCAGTGAACAGTGTTTACTAGAATGAGAAAGAGCATATCAGTGTGTCTTACTCACACTAGTGAACAGCGTTGCATGTGTACGCAGCGCGTCAGGAATTCGAAGAGTAGGCGCGGGATCGGAGGGCAAGCGGGGCGGTTGCTCGCCAACAAACGCCGTACGAATCGTACGGTCCGCTTGACCTCCAATCCCGCGCCTACTCTTCGAATTCCTGACGCGCTGTATACGTAGCTGGAAAGCACACTATCGTACTCACTGCGCATATAAAAGCATATCGGTTTCTGTTAGTTTGTAATGTCGTGGATTGGATTTTTTTGAGTTGGATTTTGATTTAAACAAATTATTGATATAATTTGTTTCCAGCATTCATGCGAGCTATTTCCTCTAAATTATTTTAAAAAGTTATTTATACCGTATGCGAATATTTTATATTCTTAAATTTACTAATCGCAAGTTCAAATCTTTATTATCTAAAGCAAGGATCCGGACCGGACTGAAACCGAAACCGATAACCGGACCGTAACCGTTATTTTAGTCAAACCGAAACTGAAAACCGGCCCGAAATATTATGTAGACTAATAGACCGGAACCGTAACCGAACCGAAAACTTTTTCCGATGTTTATTTCGGTTCGGATTTTTCTAACGTTGTTAAACGTTTTACAAGAATTTTTATTTGGAAGAATTTGAAAATCACAGTCGTTATTGGCAACTCATTAGATTGTGTTCGAAGCCAGAGCTAATAGAATTTTTATCAACAAAGATGACACGTATG